ACTCCTCTCTACAAATAATTAAACACTGAAAGTAAGGATGGAAAATATATTCCCACAAATAGTAACCAGGAGAGCTTGGGTTGTTATACTAATATCAGACAAAATAACCTTTTATGTCAAAAAAATTGCAAAACATAAGAATATTAAATAGAAGGGCCAATTGACCAGAAAACATGATAATCATAAAACATATGTCTAAACTTCCCAGCCCTAAAAGCATCAAGGAAACTGACAACATTTAAGGAAGAACACAGTTCTACAAAAAGGGTTGGAGACCTTAATATTCCAATTTTTTTTTTTTGAGACAGTCTCACTCTGTTGCCAGGCTGGAGTGTCATGGTGTGATCTTGGCTCACTGCAACCTCTGCCTCCCAGGTTCAAGTGTTCTCCTGCCTCAGCCTCCCAAGTAGCTGGGATTACAGGTGCCTGCCACCATGCCTGGCGGTTTTTTTATTTTTACTAGGAGATAGGGTTTCGCTTCTTGGCCAGGCTGGTCTCGACCTCCCGACCTCAGGTGATCTGCCCACCTTGGCCTCCCAAAGTGCTAGGATTACAGGCATGAGCCAACACACCCAGCCCTCATATGCCACTTTTAACAATGAGTAGAAACTAGCCTGAAGATCATTAAGAAAATAAACGAAACACCATCAACCGATTGGACCTAGCAGACATACACAGGACACTGCATCCAACAGCAGAAGAACACACATTTTTCTCAAGTGCACATGGAACATTCTCAAGGATGGACAATATATTAGCCCAGAAGAGAAGGATTAATCAACTTAAGACAGAAAGTATACAAAGCATCATATCTAGTCACATTAATTTAATTAAGAGGAGAACTTTTAAAAAATCACAAATTTTTCCATTGTTGAAAAATTACATTAGATGTGGTAACTCACACCTGTAATCCCAGCACTTTGGGACGTCCAGGTGGGTGGATCACCTGAGGTCGAGAGTCCGGGGACCAGTCTGGCCAACCTGGTGAAACCCTGCTTGTTTAATAAAAATATAAAAATTAGCTGGGCATGCGGCGGGCACCTGTAATCACAGCTACTTGGGAGGCTAAAGCATGAAAGTCACTTGAACCTGGAAGTCAGAGGGAGGCTGCAGTGAGCAGAGATTGCACCACTGCCATCCAGCCTGGGTGACAGAGCGAGACCCTGTCTCAATAGAAAAAAAGAAAAGAAAAACGAAACCCCATACTCTTAACTAGCCAATGTATCAAAAAAGAAATCACAAGAAAAGTCAGAAATTATCTTGAGATAAAAGAAATAAAAAACATAACATACCAAAACTTACAGATTCGAGCAAACGCAGTGCTAAGAAGGTAATTACACACATACCGTTTTAGCCCATTCAGGCTGCTGTAACTAAATGTCATAAACTGGGTGAGTTATAAATAGACATTATTAGAGTTCTGGAGGCTGGGAATTTCACATCAACTCACCAAAAAATTTGGTGTCTGGTGAGGGTTCATCGATAGATGTCTTGTTGTTAGCTCGGCTGGGAGCAGTGGCTCATGCCTGTATTCCCAGCACCTTGGGAGGCTGAGGTGGGTGGATCACCTGACATCAGGAGTTGGAGACCAGCCTGACCAATATGGTGAAACCCTGTCTCTACTAAAAATAGAACAATTAGCTGGGCATGGTGGCAGGCACCTGTAGTCCCAACTACTCGGGAGGCTGAGACGGGAGAACCGCTTGAACTCAGAAGGCAGAGGTTGCAGTGAGCAAAGATCGTGCCACTGCACTCCAGCCTGGGCAAGAGGGAGCATTCATGTCAAAATTAAAATAAATAGAAATTTAGCTGTCTTGTTGGGGTCTCATATGGAGAATGAAACAAGGAAACTACTGAAGTCTCTATTTAAAGGGCACTAACATCACTAATCAAGGAAATGCAAATGAAAACCGCAGTGAGATACAACCTTACTCCTGCAAGAACTGCCACCATTAAAAAGCCGAAAACCAACTCAGCTTGAATGTGAAGAGGGAACACTTTTACACGACTGGTGGGAATGTAAATTAGCACAACCAGCATGGAAAACAGCATGGAGAGTCCTTAAAGAAGTAAAAGCAGAACTCCCATTCATCCAGCAATCCCACTACTGGGTATCTACCCAAAGGAAAAGAAGTAGTCACATGAAAAAAGACACAAAGACACGTGCAAATGCATGTTTACAGCACAATCTGCAACTGCAAAGATATGGAACCAACCTAAGTGCCCATTGACTGCTGAGTGCATACAGGAACTGTGGTGCACACACACCATGGGCTACTCCTCAGACATCAAAAGGGATGAAATCATGACTTTTGCGGCAACTTGGAGGGAGCTGGAGGCCATTCTTCTAAGTGAAGTAACTCAGAAATGGAAAACCAAAAGATCGTATGTTCTGTCACTTTACTTGATGCCACTAAATTGTGTGTTATCTTTTACATAAATAAGGAGAGAAAACAAGTCTCAATGGAGGCATACCAATGTTTCATGGGCACACAGATATGGTATACTCAGAGAAACAACACAAAGCAATATATTGATGTTTTTAATCAGCTAGCTAGCTTGTAATTTATGTTAGAACATCCATTTAATTTGTTCTCTTTTAGCTGCTGCAACGCTTTCTTAAAAGCATTAGATTTGCTCTTCTATCATATGCTGGGACATGAACCCAGGTAAAGATAGAAGGCTGAGGCCTCATTCAGCATGGGCCTCTATTACTTTTCTGGGTGTTAAGATCATAAAAACACCATCAGAATTATAAGTTAAAGTGCACTGACTGAATTTTTTAAATAATGAGACACAAAAAAGTTACATTTCCGCTGAAACAAATGTTTTATAATTGCTGTAATCTTTCTGAGAGACACAGTCATGCTATGTTGCCCAGGCTGAAGTGAGAGAGTGGCGACTCACCGGCACCATGTTTCACACTACAGCCTTGAATTCCTGGCTCAAGGAATCTTCCTGCCTCAACTTCTGGAGTATTTGGGACTACAGTTGTGCACCACTGCACCTGGCTTTTGGGATTTTCCCACAGTTGAAAAACAGCCAAACCCTAGACAAATTTCTTAGTAAGTCAAGTATTACTGTTTTTTTTTTTTTTTCTTACCAACTCTATCACTGATACCTTTTACTTTTATATCCCTATGTCCTATTTGTCTGTAGTATTCTATGTGTCTCAATCTAGTTAGTGATCTTATATCACTCTTATATGTCCTTCCAAAATTTGGGGGGGGGATTTTTTAACCATTTTATAACTCTTATATAGTTTAAGTCACATTTGTTTACTGAATTATTTATTTATTTTTTTTGAGATGGGGTCTCACTCTGTACAGGCTGGAGTGCAATGGCACAATCTCGGCTCATTGCAACCTCCGCCTCCCGGGTTAAAGCTATCCTCCAGCCTCAGCTCTTGAATAGCTGGGATTACAGGTGTGTGCCACCACGCCCGGCTCATATTTCAATTTTTAGTAGAAATGGGGTTTCACCATGTTGACCCGGCTGGTCTCAAACTCCTAACTTCAGGTGATTTGCCTACCTCGGCCTCCCAAAGTGCTGGGATTATAGGTGTGAGTCACTGTGCCCAGCCTACTGAATTTTTGATACTGGAACTTATTTGTGCATGAGAGCCCTCTTTTGATAAATGTCTTTGTTATTTCTATCACTTCACTAACATTTACCCCAGTTGAGATAGATGATCAACTGATGAACCACCGGACTAGTAGTACTGTGTGCACAATATTGTTAATCGAAGTAAATGTAGGTACTCTTTTACCAAATTAAGGTGGAAAGCTACAGAAAAAGAAAAAAGAAAACAAAACTTACCCTGACCCTTTCCATCCATTAGTGACATAAACACAGAAAGGTAACCAAATGGACCAAATGAAGGAGCCAGACAATCAGACCAAAATGATATAAACACATTTTTCAGAAACACACCAAAGGCACCCAGGTTGAGAAACCTGGGTATTCACGTGCAGAGGACTGAAGTGAGACCCTTACGTTGCACAAGAACACAAACATCAACACAAAACCAACTCAGCACCTAAGTTTAATCCTGAAACTTAACAAGCTCTCAGGAAAATACATAGGGTGAGTGTCTATTTTGGGAAAACTTGAATCTGTGTACACCAGCTGCAGACAGGAAAAATTAGGAAGAATATACCCATAAATAATACAACATTTTCGCCATCTCGCTCGCTTTATTTCCCAATGGGAAACAAAAATCCCTGCTAACAAAAGCAAATATAAACAGGTTAGACAAAGGAACTTTAAAATTTATAAACAAGGAGAAAACGGTGAACCCAAAAAAAAGGCACCCTACAGATTTGGATAAAATTATAGAAAATCATGTATCTGAAAAGAACTGTTTTCTAACATATGCAAGACACTAAAGGCACTGAGTGAGCATAATGATAAAATAACGAAAACCTCTATTTACCCAAACAACCTGCCACTGGCATAAAAACAGAAAGGCTACCCAACGGACAGAATGAGGGAGTCCCACATGCCACCCAAATGAATGTACACTGAACACATTTTTCAACACAACACAAATAGACACAATGGGAAAAGAATAAATGATTTTGAGCAAACTGGATAACCACAAGAAAAACACTGAAATAGGACAAAAATCGATGTAAATTACATGAAAGACCTAAACTCAATCTTGAAACCATTTCCTTCCCTCAGGAAACAACAGGTAAGCACATAGTTTAGAAAACTAATCTATGCACACAAGTTGCAAAATGTGAAATATAAAAAGAAAAAGAAAATTAGAAGGAAAAAAACATAGCCAATGCCATGGATTGGCAATCTTTTTCACTGTTTTTAACTGCACACGGAAGTCACCACTAATATGTAAACAGGTGGAACTACGGAAAACATCAGATCTTATGCTGTGAAAAGAAAACAGTGAACAGAAGAGAAGGTGCCTCACAGACTGAAAGAAAACTATGGAAATTCTGTCTTTGAAAGGGGTCGTTATAAAATCTGTGAAAGACACTAACACTACCATGTGGGGGAAACAAAAACAAACACCCAAGCTAAGTCTGGGCAAAGGACCTGAACAGACGTGTCTGCGAAGCAGATGGGAAACTGACTCACAGGTAAAAGAAAAGTCTCTCAAAAGCGCTAATCCTCACAAGAATGTCAAGGAAACCTGCACTGAGATGCCGCTTCCATCCACATCGAATGAATGCTACCTAAAACAGAAAGAAAACTTTAAAAGGAAACAACTAGTACAGACTTTCAGAAGGGGAAACTCTTCTCATACACTATTGGTGGGAATGTCAGTGTCTACACACACTACGAAAAACAGCTGGAAGTGCCTCCAACGAAGTAAAAATGCCCATTTCATCCAGCCATCATTCCATTCCTACGTGGAAGAGATACCTGCCTTACCCTCCGTACTGCAGGACTCACGATAGCCAAGATAGGAAATACACCTACCTGTTCTTCCATTGTGAAGGGATGAAGAAACTGCAATATACATCCAGAGCAGAATATTCTTTAATCGTAGAAATGGGTGAAATCTCGTCACTTGCGGCCACGTGGAAAAACCTGAGGAACATTATGTTAAATGAAATAAGCCAGGCAGAGAAAGGCATATACTGCATGATCTCATGCACGTGGAATCTGAAACAACTTGACCTCACAGAAGCACGAAGTTCAATAGTGGTTACCAGAGGCTGTGGGGAAGGGGCGCCTAGGCAGGGATTGGTGCTGGGTACAAAGTTACACTTAGAAAACAGATCAGTCCTGCCCTTCTCTTCTATAGCAGGGTGACCAGGGTTAATATTGTAGTGAATTTTCCAAAGAGCTGGGAAGGATTATGAGTATCATCTCCACAGACAAATAATACCTAGAGGACTTCACAGATGCTAAATATTGTGATTCGATCAATATGCTAGGTGTACGCATATCAAAATGGCCCCTGTATCTTATAGTTATATACATATGCTCTAGCGGAATCGCTTTATAAAAAAAAAAAATACCAATGACGCTAAAATTTACATGGAACCATGAAACACCCTGAATTTCAAAGCAACACTGAAAACACAAAGTACATGGAATGCATCACTGTCCTCCATTTGAAATTATATTGAGAAGCCAGTTATCTAAACAATAGATGACTGGCACTAACCGAGAAACCCAACAGACAGAATGAGGGAGCTCGATCACAAACCCAAATTCCTAGGTGGTGTACACGTTTTGTAAAAGAACACCGACAGACACAATGAAGAGGGGGGAATCTGTTTAGTCAATGGATTTGAAAACTGGATATCCCTACGTAAGTAGAATAGGACCCCAACTGTGTAAAAAGACCAAGGATTAACTCAAAATGAATTAGAGACTGATCAACAAAAGTCGAAAGCATCAAACTCTTCCAATGAGAAGACACATGATGTGGGTATGTTTAGGTCAATGTGGATCTGTGCTCACAGTGTGCCAAAACAAAATAAAAAATACAGGGGGAAAATCTCATAGGCGATGGGATAGTTTGGTCATGATTCTGTTTTTCCTCATCAGTCACCTACATCAAAGGACAACAAGAACACAGACACACGTGGGACTACATCATACGTTAGAGTTTGTGCCCAAGCAGATTTCTAAAAAATCCGCCGGGCGTGGTGGCTCAAGCCTCTAATCCAGCACTTTGGGAGGCCGAGGCGGGTGGATCACGAGGTCAAGAGATCGAGACCATCCTGGTCAACATGGTGAAACCGCGTCTCTACTAAAAATACAAAAAATTAGCTGGGCATGGTGGCGCGTGCCTGTAATCCCAGCTACTCGGGAGGCTGAGGCAGGAGAATTGCCTGAACCCAGGAGGCGGAGGTTGCAGTGAGCCAAGATCGCGCCATAGCACTCCAGCCTGGGTAACGAGAGCGAAACTCCGTCTCAAAAACAAAAATTATCCTGAAGTTTACAAGAAAGGTTTCGGCAAACCTACATATGATGAAAGGTTGTCTTCAAAATGTCTAAGCAACAAACGCTACTTACTAGCAAAAACACAAAAGAGAAACTAATAACTAAGCAAACTGGGACCAAATAACCTAAACAGACATTTCTGCAAAGAAGACGTAACGTTGAAAACGAGTTTTAAAAACTTAGAAAATATCGCAAATCACGAGAAAGATGTAAATCAAAGCAACACACATGATCTCACTATAATTCATACCGGTGTTATCAAGGCAATCAAATACATTAAAAGAGACGCAAATGCTGCTGTCAATTTCCACAGAGGAACTCATTTCTTCAGAATGTTAATCAGCATTCATACTACAGACACCAGTGGGAGCTTCCTCCAAAAGTTTAACCTACAACTACCACTTCATCTAACAAGTCTTCTACTAAGTATACTTTCAGGATGAAAGAAATCAGTCCATGCAAGAGGCATCTGTCATCCTATGTGGACTGCAGCACTATTCACAATTGCCAAGACAAAGAATAGACTTACCTGCCCATCCACACATGAAGGGATACCTGGTGTATGTGCACAAATAGAATCGTCTTCAGCTAGAAAACTGGAATGAAATGTCATCATTTGGAGCCACGCTGTTGAACTTGGAGGACATCATGTATGACCTAAGACAGGCAGAAAAAGAACAACTAATGTAGAATCCAAAATAAAAGGCTTTATTGCATAGGTCTACAAAGCACAATAGTAGTTACTAAAGGTTGGAGGGAAGAAGGGGCACGGGCAGAGGTCAGAAATAGGCACAAAGTTACCCTTAGATGAGAGGAATCAATCGCTCCTCACTGGTCCACAGCCAAGTGACCAGAGGTTAACACAACATCACACCCTTTTCACAAATGTGGGAGATTCCAAATGTTTCTACCACAAACAAATTCACAACTGTTTCTGATAAGAGAGGCTCTAAATATCCTGATTTGATCATTCCTCTGTGTCTGCATTAATCAAAATGCCCCACTGTAACTCCCCACATTGTATACCTTCACCACATGACCAACCTTTTAAAAACTATGTCAATATGCAATGCTAAAATTCATGTGGTCCATAAAACACACTGAATTTCCAAAGCAATCCTGAGAAATCCAAACTACCTCGGTTGTGTCACACTTCCTGATGTTAAATTTCATTGAAAAGCTAGGGACCCCATTCCACACAGAGCAGTGGAACAGATTAGAGGGCCCAGACTGAAACCCTCACCCCTAACACCATCTGATCTTCAACAAAATCCACAAAAATAAGCTTTGGAGAAAGGACTCCCTCCTTTCAATAGATGGCGCTGGCATAAATGACTAGCCAGCTGCAGAAGAAAAACAGTGGGCCCCGCGTCTCACGGTGTACAGACACAAACTCAAGATGAATGAAAGATGTAAATGCAAGACCTCAAACTATGAAAAGCCTGCAAGAGAACCTAGAAACGCCCTTCCTGACAGAGGATTTGGCACAGCGTGGATGTGTCTCAGTCTCCAAAGGCAAGTGTAACTAAAACAATTATTGCCCAGTGGCACCTAATACACAAAGAGCTGCTGCACAGAAGAAATGACCAACAGAGTGAACAGACGGCCCTGCACAATGGGAGAAAATGTTCCCACGCGTGCATCTGATGAAGGCTAATATCCCGGATCCACCTTAAAGATGTTAAGCAAATAAACCAGGAAAACAAAAACTCAATGAAGAACGGGCAAGGGGCATGAAAACACGCGCCTCAAAAGAAGGCTTCACAGCAACCAACAGACATGACAACACTTCTCTGCCTCAGTCAGCATCAGAAAGAGGCAAAGCAAAAGGCCCACGAGATAGTATTTCACACTGGCCAGAATGACGATAGGACACAGTCCACAAGAACGAATGCAGGCGAGGCAGAGGACAGGGACGCTGCTCTGCTGCTGGTGGAAATGCAAACCAGTTCAGACACCATGGAAAGCAACGTGGGGATTTCTCAAATGACTTTCTCCACATCAATAAGTCCATGAAACCATGCTAAGATTCCGTCTCCTTCCACTCGCTATGAATACTACCAAAAACAAAACACAAATTTTGGAAGGCGTCAGCCAGTGTAGACTTACAGAAAGGTGACCTCTTCAACACTATTGGTGGAGACCTGAACTAGTATAACACACACTGAGAAACAGCAAGAGGTTCCTGAAAAACTTCACGGTACAACTACCATGTCAGCTGGCAGCCCCACACTGGTTCCACATTTAAAGCAGTTGAAATCCCTGGCTGAAGAGAGCTATCTGCCCTTCCATGGGTACTGAAGCACTTGTAACTGTGGCCAAGTTACAGAACCAATCCTACCTGTCCACCCGCAGCTGCAGGGATGAAAAACTGCTGTACAGATACACCATGGAGTATGTTCCAGCCATGAAGCTCTGGGAATCCTGCCATCTGCAGCCACATGAAGAAACCTGTAGAACATCAGGTCCAACGAATGAGCCTGGTAGAGAAAGTCCCATTCCACATGATCCTAGGCATGCAGACTGAAAACATCTTCAACTCCTAGGAGCAGAAAGTTCAATAGGGGTTACTAGAGGTTGCTGGGAAAATGGAGAGGGTCTGGGAAGGAATCAGTAATGGGTAAAAACTTTCCTCAGATGACAGCAATCAATTCTGGTCTTCTATTCCACAGCAGGGTGACTGGCCTTAACACAAATGTATATGTCTCAAAGTAGCTAGAAGAAAATATTCTGAATGTTGCTACCACACAAAAATATCATAACTATACCAGGTGAAGAGACGCTAAATAACCCAATTTGATCATTACTCAGAATACACATGTAACAAAATCTTCCCTGTACCCTCTCATTATATACATTTATATATGGGAAATGGTGTCTTAAGATATATAAAGAAAACAATGCCAAAAT